AATAAAGAAAAATATGTGAGGCAAATGCAAACAAATGCAAAATGCGATATTGAGCGATTGACACGCATATTGGACAAGGTTGCGACAATCGAGCCATGGCTAACAGGCAGCGCCAATGGCATAGACCAAACGGGCCAACTCCCCCGCTCGCTGCTAGGCGCAGCGGCTGTCCCCTGTTTCCTCGCCGCTGGCTGCACTAATTATGAAGAGGCAGAAGGCAGCCGCAGCGGCAGTCGTCGCAGAAGAAGAAGCAGAAGAACTGTTGCAGCTGAAAGCCATTTGACACAGTTTGACCGAGCGTAACAAATCAACATTTTGAAATGGAACACGCTTGGGGCCATTGAAGCTGACGTGGTCACAAAATGGACGAAAAACAACAGGCAAAGCGAGAGCGAGAGAGAGGGATAGACAGAGAGAGAGAGAGAGAGAGAGAGTCGCAGCTTTGCATTGATTCGCGTCGCTTGAGAGGCAAGTTTTTGATGATCTAACCTGATAGCAATATAAAATAATACTCGCCACCTCAACTAAATCAGCCTTAGCCCCAGCCCCACCACCTATATACAGATAGATATACAAAAATATCGTAGCTGACATGTAACATTAGTTGCTAATGCCAAATAGTTTATATTTGTTGTTGGAACGCGACGCTGCCAACATGGCGTGCTTCCGGTTCCAGTGCATGCCAGCCAATATGCTTCAGCAACCCCCCAAAACAGTACCCACCGCCCTCCCCCTTCCAACAGCTTCCCCTGCGATAGGCAACCCCTACTCCGCGGCGCGCTCAGGGCTGCGGGCTCTTGTGATGCGCGCTTCATTACCCGCCCACATGTCAACCAGCTCTCAATTTGTTGACGTTGATGATGATGATGCGAGCTGCACCGCCTTTTGGCAACGCCCCCTCACCTGGATTGCTGCCCCACAGCGCCCATTATCAACGCCAGGTGCGTGCTCGTCGCTCGTGTCAAGCGCCCAGCACAGCTCTTGCCAGCCGACTCTAATCATGGCGTTTAAATTGAACAATTAAACTAATTTCGCTTTGGCGCTGACGCATGGAGACACAAATTTTTCTCTCTTTCCATTTTTTTCAGTTTTTTTTATACATTTTTCACATATTTCTATTTGTTTTTCTATTTGAAGAAATATTTCGGAACTAGGCTTTAGCTGCTCACTTGAAACGGTGCCTAAGGCGCGTCCTTCATGCTGTCTCTAGAGACATCTCTGCTTTCATTGCATCAGCTATCGACTAATCGGCGCTGTGATTACTATATAATATAGCAGACATATGTACTGACTTTGTGTTTGCTCTGTTATTTAGTTAGTTAGTTGCTTCTGTAGAGGCAGCTCTATAAGAGACATCTCTATGAGAGACATCTCTCTTCCCTAGAGACATCTCACAAGTCAAGTCTGTTCATTAGCTCAAGTTTCTACCAAGGCTCGAATCTTCAGCCAGGCCAGGACACAGGGTGCAGACCTGTCTCTTCTGAAGAGACGTCTTAAGTGTCATCTATGAGAGGCATTCCTATAAGAGACATCTCTCTTCTCTAGAGACATTTCATTAAGTCAAATTTCAGCCCAGTCGCATCAAGCATCGATTGCTCATATCTTGACCCCTTGAGACATTTTAGATATCAGGTCTTAGGACAGCTCTATAAGAGACAACCCTTTGAGCGACATCTCTCTTCTCTAGAGACATTTCAGGCTGCATTAAGTCAAGTTTCAGCCAACTCTCATCAAGCTCAAATCTTGACCCAATGAGACCTGAGCTGTCTCTAGCTGGGCCCAGCCATTGCCCATTCAGCTCTTCCGCCAAAGACAGCAAATAATGTGCCGCACTTTTTCCATTTTTTATTTTTTTTGGAACTTACCTCAAATGAAAACTGCAGTCAAACTTCCGACACGATAAAAAAAAAAATACAAAACGAAAAACAACGAAAAGATAAAAAAAACTGGTAAATAGTTATTTGTTGCTGTTGGCCTGGTTTTTGGAAAAATTTCACACGATTTTCAAAATGCAAATTGCGTTTATGTCTTTTTAGGCCAGCAACAAGAGCGCACCGAGGCCCAAAGCCGAGGCAACATAACAAAAACAAAAATATGTTAAGTTAAATAATGAAACAAAAAAACAAAAAAAAATTAGAAAGAAAGAAAATTAACACTTTATGCGGGTGCGAGTGCCGAGACGGAGGCAGTTGATAGTTGAAACCGGGCGACGATCGCACGTAACCGAAATGAATGAGCTGTGAGCAGGTGAGTCGCCTTTTATAGGTGCCTGGCCTGGCCGGGCCTGGGCTGCCCATCTGCCACCCCCATAATATGCAGAGATACAGAGCAACCCCCACCCCAAGCTTCCGCTTCCTCCTCCCTCTGCGCCTCTCTTCGCCCTCCCACACACCCTCACAAAGACACAATCGAACCATCGAATCCTGGCCAGCTCAGTGCGGATAAGATAACGGGCCAACACCATATTTGCGGCCACATGGCCCAGCGGCTAATGGGGTCGCGTTGCAGAGAGCCAAACCATACGATGTTATCGCCCAACCGCCTGGGCCACATTTATGCAAAACAATATGGCGTCTGCCATCGATCCAATCAATAGATAAACGGCAAGTCGGCCTCTGATAACGGCGACCCGGACTAACCCCTGCCATCTGGAGCGTTTTCTCTTCTTCTTACTTTTCCAATTAATTCATAATAAGCTAATACGATTTCCAACTTTCATCGCTCCTAAGTACCAACTGTAGTCCTAGAGGATATGCGAACATACGGAAATATCTATATAAAAGATATATATATATATAAAAGTAGTGCTATATAAAATTATATATATGATATATATATACATATAGATCATATCAAATAGTTTCATCTAGTTTTGTATAAAAATCTATGCGACACCAAAAGACATAAACTCTTTTAAAAGAACTTTGTTTTATACTCGTTCACAAAGTGAACAGAGTATATTCGCTTTGAGCAATGTCTGTCTAGCTGTTCGTCAGTCCCTCTGTCCGTCTATATAGAAGCTAAAAATTGACAATATGCTCGTTGGCACTCTCCCCTTATAAATATTATCGCCCACAAGGGTCGTGGCAAAACGGAAACGCTATCTTATAAGGCTATATCTCATAAATTGGCAAAATATATACTTGAGTTGAAAATCTAAAATATAAAATAAATAAATATATATAAAAGTATATAAATATAAAATTAATAATATATAGTAGGTAAATCCACAGCTATTGGGGACGTGGCAAATCGAGTAAAAACTGTATTTTCCACAGCTACAATTTCTAGATTTAACAGCTCATTTACTCTTGACCTGCTCTATTGATTCACTAAAAATTGTATACATATGTACCTGGGGGCGTGGCAAACTGAAAATAACTATATCATGCTAAGTTTTAAGGCTAGAACTCGAAAATGAAATAGTTAAGTTGCTGCACGCTGCCTCTAGAGGTTTAGTAGAGGCGATTCAACTGTTTTTGTACCAGGAACGAGTATTATGCAGTTGGGATTGCCCGAAAGCAACCTTTTTACTTTAATTTGTGCATATGCATAAAATATAGATAGAAGTCAAGCTTAAAACAGTCCAAGTTATAAACAATCGAAGCTTTGTTTTGATATTTTATGAAATTCTTAGATAAACTTAAACTTGTGTTTTTTTATTCTAAAAATATATAAAAGTTATGCGAAAATAATCCATAAAATACAACTGGAAACAGAAAAACGAAGCAGTCTTTAAAAAGTGTGCTTCATCTAGAAAGTCTATTGCAGAAAGGCCTCGAACTATGTTAAAATATGTTTGGAAATAATACTCGCTTCATCTGAAATTGTATATATGACTATATAATTTAGTCAACTTAATTACAAGCCGATATTAGCCAGCCTAGGCCAGTTTGACATGAACTAATATATATATAGTATCTTCAGTAGATATATCTCGTATCTAAAAGACATGTGTGTAGTATCTAAAATATATATGAACACTGAGCACTTCACGCATCATACGATTTTGGTACAGTTGTGCACAGGCTGGCTAAGCGCTGGTATTAGAGTCAAAATTAGAAAGGTAGAACCCAAGCCACAACCCCAAGCACTATCAGTCGGGTCGCAGGTCGTCAAGGGGCGAGGTGCGAGGGGCGGGGCGAAAGGGTTCTTATATGCGGGCAAGGCTCGATAGGCGACCTAATCAAAAATAATTCGGTAAATTAAGCAAACAAGAGCAGATGATATATACCCCATATAGCCAACAATATACTAATAAGTATATAGATATACGTGTATATACATATACGTTATATATAGATATTTATTTGAATAGATATGGCATATAGTGGTGTGAAGCATAATGGGAAACCAAATAGAAATTTCCTAAACTATTTCACTTTTTTTTGTCATTCTTGCTTTTCCATGGAAAGGCGAACATTGGGGCAGGAGCGTGCGAGCGGGCAGATATGACAAGCTGCCTGCTGCTTATCGGTGTGCGCAACATAATGTGGCAGCAGGTAAACGCTGATAAGGCCACGTTGCCAGGAGGCCAGCAAGCAGATAAGCCAGGCGAAGCAGCCAGGCTGTTGCTATTGCAGTTGCCGCTCCTGAGCTGCTGCTGCTGGTGCCGACGCCGCTGCTGCTGCTTATCACAATTTAAATATTAATTTAGGGATATGAGCAAGAGAGATATAGTTACGTGCAGTCGATGGCTTTGGCTCTGACTCCGCTCCGTTTGCTTATCGCCGCACGCAAACAGCGCGAGCAAACAGCCAAGCGATATGGAGCGCAATGTTCCCAGCGATATATGGCCATATAAATATACGTATATAAGTTATATATGCCTAGCATATGGTTCACATGGTCCATGGCGGAGTTACACACCGGAAATGTTGCATGCAGCCGCTGCAGTTGGCTGCCAACACACGTAACACCGCTTGCCACGCCCCCAACTCTACTGTACTCTAAGCTCTAAGTGCTAATCAAAGTGTTTTGCAGGAATTCACTCGACTCACCAGCGATTTTGTTGTGGCGCCATCAACGTCAGCGCCAACGCCAGGTTCGTTAATTTGTTGACTGGTCTTCAGTGTTGCAAGCTGCTTGCGTAGTGTGGCAATCTGTTGATGCAAGTGGCAAAAAGTTAAACGCTGTGTGCACATATGTTGAAGAGCATACAGAGCAGGCAAGAGTGCGCAGGAGCCGTCTACAGGAAGTCCTACAAGTGCAGCTTCTGCAGCTTCAATGGAGCAGCAGTGGCAGCTGCAGCAAATGCTCACTGCTATGCAATGCAGCAAATGCACTGCATTGAAGCCACTATCGCAGCCGCAAGCCGAACAGCCAATGGAGCTGTGGCAGTTGCGCCTTGTACTCACCTCACGGTCCTTGTCTTCACATGACTTTTCCAGCTGCTCCTTGAGCATCTGCGTCTCGGTTAGCAGCTCCACCGCCGTCTTGGTATTTAGGTCAGGTCCGCGGTAATCATCGTCGCCGGGTCCGGCTGTGTCGGCCAACACCTCCTGGGCCAAGTTCGTCAGTTGTCCTTTGATGGTGTTTAGGCTGTTGTTTAGCCACGACATGCTGCCTGCTGTCTACGTCCTGTTGATCAACGCTCTCTTGCTCAGTGTCCTATATATTACTCGATTGTATATTCCTTAGATTAAAAAATAACTAATTTATAATTTTGCGTGGCACAAAAGCTGCTTCAGCTGATTATTGTTATTGTCATCGTTGGTATCGATAGATTTGCTGACGATATATCGATGGGTGCATGCCAAAATGCTGGATGCTGTGAGGCACAGATGTCGGCTGTTTGGCTTTTTAGCTTTTATTGCGCCAAATTTAGCTGAGCTTAACAGCTTCAACATTCAAACGAAATACCCAATAAAAATATTATTTTATACATATATATATATTGAATATAAGGGGTAATTACAATAAGACTCCAGTCTTTATGCAAGCTCAATAGTTAGTGTAAAAAGTACACTATTTTCTTATCAACAAAACGCTTTTATTTTCATATTTTTGAATAAGTTAGTGAGTTAGCGTTTTGGCGGCAAAACGTAGTGCCCCTCTTCTTTTCAATCAAGACATGCGCGGAGAGAGAGAGAGAGCCAGCAATCGAACTATCGTAACATAATCTTAATTATTCCGATAATTCTTGCTCATCACTAGTCGCGGCACTATTTACTTATATATATGTATATAAACACACACATGACAACTTAGTAAATAGAAATGAATAAAACCGTACAACCTCGGATACTCATAAGTTCCTTAAAAGTAAGTAGTGCATAGCTAAACCCTTTTAGATACCATTACTAACATAAATAAATGTTGTCATTAAGCACTGGCCACGCCGCTATGCAGCTGATCAGACACAGGCGCGCTCCGAAAAACGTTCTGTGAGCGTTGGTCTTACACAACCGCCGGATCCGCAGTTGGTAAAAACGGATTACGTTGGTCCGCCGGATCCGCAATCCAATCTGCGGCCCTATGTGCGGCATTACGATGAGAATGAAACGGAATTGGCCAAGAAATTACGTTTGTTACGCATTGAAGTTGAAAAATGGAATATGGATTTTTGGACAAAACACAACAAACGGTTCTATGAGGTTTGTTACGGTGAAGTTAATTTATATCATTCAGCTCACGCAAGCGAAAGGGAGAGAGAGTGGGAGAGAGAGAGAGAGACATAACGTAAGAGAGACGCATGAAACAGTACGTTTTACGTTCTATCTCTCTCACACTTCGGTGCACGTTTTCCGACTCTTTCTCATTTGTATTTATGTTAGTTGAAATTGTAGTTAATTTTTTGTTTTTTTTTTTTGGTTGCAGGAAAAAGAGGACTTCATACAATTGCACAAAATTAACGGAAACGATGAGATTAGCGCCGATCAAATGAGTGTTTTTTATAAATCGTTTTTAGATAAAAATAGACGCATCCATTTAATGTACAATATTTCATGGTATTTGAAAAATTTCGACATGCTCACATTAGCGTTTGCCGTAGAAGTGCAAAATTTATTAAATCGACTTAGGAGAAAGACGTAGCAACCACCCAGCGCAATCAACAACAGACAACAAAGTTTTTAACTTTAAACAAAAGTATATATATATATATACATCGATTTATATATATACTATATATATATTTAATGACATTTCGGTGTACATACAGTATGTAAATTGTTGAAATTTAGTTAAATTGTTTCACTACAAAGAAAACAAAGTTCATGTAAATATTATATAAATAAACAAAAATCCTATATATATGTATATATTTTATATATATATAGATATATATATATAATTTATATGCATATATATATATAATATATATATATATATATATATATATATATATATATATATATATATATATTGTTAAATGTTTTAAAGTGTTTACATTTACTTAAGAACTAAAGATACACTTGAATTGATAAATTTATGTTAAGATATAGAAATGAAATTAAGTAAAAAAATACATTCAGTTTTGGATGTACATTAAATAAATATTCTACACCATTTCGGAAGAGATTGTGTTTTCATTTTTCTTTTGTTTCTCATCCTCTTATACAGTCTCTCGTAACAGCAAAAAAAAAAAAAAGAAGAATTAAATAATAATAATAATAATAAAAACGAACGAAGGCACACCCAGGTCTGCTCTTGGCGTTTACAGGATTTGGGTAGAGAATATATATATAGAGATAGTTTTATATATTATATACGCACGTAATACATACGAATCATCAAGTAAGTAACATAAAATACATGCTTAAAATTTTTAACTACAAATATTTTATGCGTGAAATTTTAATATTTGTTTTTGTTATTTTTTTTGCATTTTTCCTTAAATTTTTGTTATTTTTTTGTTTCTTTGTTTAATTATACTACAAAACACGTTTGGCTTATGAGCAATAGGATACAAATTAGCTACAATATGCACGAAGGGCGCATTCATGGTCACATACATATATATATATATATATATATATATATATATGTGCGGATACATGCATATATATATCTAATAAATATATGTACATATATACTGCTTAAAGAATATACTATTTTGATGATGTGTGTTGGAGTACAACATGTGAATAACAACGAATCGAATCAACTTGTGTTCACTGGGTATGGGCAAGCAGCATCCGAACTCCATTTGTTGCTGCTGCTGTTTAATAATGTTGCTTCTGCTGGTGTTGTTTGCTGTTGTTGTTGTTGTTGTTTACTGGTATTTAATTCATCCACTTTCGACAATTGGGCGCACCACAAGCGCAGGGTATTTTGTGCGCATCATCCTCAATGTCAAACTTATAATCGTACGAGAGCTGTGCAACGAAACGACATTAAATATTAATTGAATGCTTCAGTATGTTATATACACAATGGGAATTCACCTCTTCGCCTCGATAGATTTTACGCTTAGCAAATATTATGATGCGCACATCACGATCGACCTCAACGATCTCTGTCACACAATTTGGATTGCAGGAGTGATTGATATAGCGCGCTAGACCGCCGCTCAATGTGGCATCGACAACGCGATCCTCATCCAGACGGAACATGTAAATACCACGATTCTGTTGGCAAACAATTCTCATATTAATATATATCAATACAGAGATAGAGAGAGACAGATTCACTCACCTTTGACTCATATTGCTTTTCACGTATCTCCGATACTTCAGTGCGTATTACCTCGCCAATATACTCTATGATCATCGTGTGCTTCTCGATGTCGCGTGCCGCATACAAGCCCAAGCCCTGGATCTTTGAACTGATACGGAGAAGAGAAAGAGATGCCATACATTTGATAGATGTTTGGTATATAGTCGCGTCTGTAGCTTACCGCGCCAGGTAGACGTTGTTGCGCCATTCCTGCTTCATCTTTTTGTACTGGGAACTCTTGGAGTGCACAAACTGTTTGCTATAGGGACACGCCACCTCGCCGGCAATCGCCGCCGAATTGGCCATGCGCTGGGTGCTGCAGCTGCCGGCGGTGCGCTGGGTGTGCGGCTTCCGCCAGACAAGCAGCTGGCGCTGTTTGGGCTCGGTGCGCGCCGCGCCGGACGGATTGATGGCTAGCGGGAATTCTAGCAACGGATTGCGTCCATATTTGAAGCGATAATCGGTGAGCGTCTCGATGCCCGGCAGGCTCTCCAAGATGCGCACAATCGCCGGCTCGGTTAGACCAAACAAATCCTCGCCGCTAATGTGCTGCGGAAAGAGCTGCAGCCACTTGTGCACCTTGCGCAACTGCTGAATGGGCTGCAAGATCTGTTGCCAGACGCCCGAGGCTGTGCTATCGCGGAACTCGCGATCCGGCTCCTTGTCGTTGCCATCGTGCACCTGGATGCGAAACTCTGGCCGGCAGCCGACCTCGGCAATGCTGCAGACATAACGACATCGTCGATTCGGCCGGCGCACGCACCAATAATAGCGGCTCTAAAGGAACAAGCAAACAGGTGAATCCATTGACAATTTCAATAGGTTGTGTGTGTACTTACCACCATATAGCCAATGGGATATATGTAGTGGGGCGTATGGAAGGCCTCCAGCTGATGCGGCAACAATTGACCCACATTGAGGAAGGTCATGTTGCCGACACGCAACAGATTGCTCAGCTCCGAATAGTGCATGACCGTGGCCACCTGACGATTCTCGTCCCGATCGACAAACACCCGCCGGTGCACCACAAACGAGCTGAGCTCGTTCTCAGTGACGCCCGCCGAGCTGTTTGCCGCATGGGCGCTGCAATGGACCGATTTGTTCTTGTAAAATATGCACTCCTCCTTGATAGCACAGGGCAGATGGTAGAGATTGCTGCAGCGCGACTTGAAGCACTTGATCGTTGCGCCCAGCTGGTGGCAGGCGCTGCATGCCTGATTGAGGCCTGACTGCAAGGCAGTCGGAAAGTTCATTAGCGCGCCGGAGACCGTCTCATAGACATCGTTCGACCACAAGGCGCAATTCAAATGCACCTGAAAATACAAATAAAATCATTTATAAATATGTATAAGAGATTGGATTTGCACATGGTATCGTGGCTCACCCATTTGTCCACATCGAAGTTGAGCAAGCGCGAGGGTCCATCGGCCTTGCCGTCACCGCGTTGATTGCAGAAAACGCATTGGCGCAAATCCTCTAGATTGTTGGGATTGAAATCTGTCTCCCAGACGGTGTTATTGGGCGCCGTTGCCTCGCTCTCCTGCTTGATGGCTGCAGATTCGGGCCCGGCTGCAAAGCAATCGGCGCTGTACCTCTTGATGATGCATTTGCGCTTCACTGGCGGCGTTGTTGGCGTCGATTCGCTCTGCGGCTGCTGTGGCTGCGACTGTTGTTGTTGCTGCTGTTGCTGCTGTTGCGACTGTTGCTGCTCCATATCAACGTCTTCGGGCTCGACCTTATCAATGGGCAACATGGTCATGAATGCATCCCCAGCAACCGGCAGCGCACTGGATGCAGACGACGATGTGGCCGTCGCCGAGGCCGTCGCCACCGACGCCGCCGTCGCCGTCGCCGTCGTCGTTGTTGCTTCCTCATCAACTGGCTCCTCCTTGCCGCGCCATTTGTACTGCGCAAAGCAGCTGCGATTGCAGAAGTAAGCATAGGGCGGCGGTGAGGATTTGCGCGGCAGCAGCGAACGCAGCATTGCCAGCATGGGCGATGGCTGCTCCTCGGGCAAATTCTGATGCGGCACACGCAGCCCAAAGGCGGCGATCACACTGCTGCAGCAACGGCACAGCTTGCGCTGTCCGGTGAGTATTTTGCGCAGATTGCCCTGACTAGTGACGGCAGCAACTGACAGACCCTGACCCAGCCCCAGCCCCTGGCCCTGGCCCGGCTCTGGTTCACTCGGCTCCTTGGCCTTGTCCGCTGCTGATGCATCGATCAGTTTGCAGGTTAACGCGGGTGTCAAGTGCAGTAGATTCGCCAAATCTCGCAGCACGCCGGCAATGTTGTCCGTTGCCGAGGTGTGCAGCGAGAGTATCACATTTTGGTTCTTCTGCTGGTAATTGTTGTTGTTGTTAATGTTGTTGTTGCTGTTGCTGTTGCAGTTGCTGCTGCTGGTGCTGCTGCTGCTACTGTTGTTGTTGTTGCTATTGTTGTTGTTGTTGCTGCTGCTGCTGCTGTTGCTGTTGCTGCTGCTGCTGTTGTGGCCCAACGACAGGCCCAGATCCAGCTGCTGCGCCTTGCGTAAGTCCTCGGCGCAGCTGCGCAGTAGCGGCGACACGCGCGTTCGCACAGCATTCGCGTCCATTGCCAGCGCCACCGGCGACATGCGTCCAGGTGCACAGCGCTGATTGCTATTGGTATTGAGCAGCACCAGGCCCGGATAGCGACTGAGACGTGACCAGGCCACGGGGCCATCCAAGCGCGTGGCTGCTGCCTGCTGATGTTGCTGCTGCTGCTGCTGCTGCTGCTGCTCAACGAGATCCGTCGTCTCCAGGTTGCAATCGCGCACTGCCGTTATCAAGCGCTGCAGACGTTCGCGCGGATTGCGCTGAATGTGCGTCGAGAACTCCTGATCGTAGAAGTCATTCTGTATGCTCGACAGCGAGCCGCCATTTGACGTCAGACTGCTGCTGCTGCTGTTGCTGCTGGTCAAGTTGTTGCTGGCATCGCCGCTGCCGCCGAAGCGTTCGCTATCGTATAGCGACTTGATGCTCGGATGTCGCAGATTGCCAATGCGGCCGAGCAGCTGATCGCAATCAACGCTGCTGCTGCTGCAGCTGCCACTGCCACTGCTGCTATCGTCCAGCTGTCGCTGCAGCTGAAGGGCACGCGAAATGGCCTTCAGCTTGCCGCCGCCGGCGGCGTTGCTGCCATTGCTGCCAAAGCAGGCGCCGTGGCCAATGAGAAAATTGCGATTGAGCAGCGGCTCGAGCACCTGCAGCGGCTGCATTTGACGTATGTGCGTCATCAGCTTCTCGGTAAATGCATCGTGATCCTCCTCGACCTTGGACAACTTGCGCACGCGCTTCTTCAGCATGGGCGAGCCCATGCCGGAGCTGCTGCCCGTAAGCAAATGCCCGCCGCTGGCCAGCGGACCACTCAGCTGCGCGTTGCCCGGCATATTGGTCAATTGCACCACAGCGCCGGCTGGCAATGTGCCGGGCATATCCCGCAGGCTGCTGGCAGCGGCAGCGGCGGCGGCAGCAGCAGCGGCAGCAGCTGCCGCGCCAGCAGCCGCATTCGCATTGCTGCGTCGCGGCCTCTGCGCCTCGCGCTTCCGTCGCTTGCGCTGCTCCACGGCCTTTGGCTCAGACAAGGCTGTGCCTGATGCGGCTGCCGCTGCTGCTGCGGCGGCGGCTGCAGCTGCTCCTGTTGGTGTTGGCGGTGCCTGTGGCAGCATTTGTTGTTGATGCAGCTGATGTTGCTGGTGTAGCTGATATTGCTGCTGCTGCTGCTGTTGTTGTTGTTGTTGTTGCTGCTGTTGTTGATGCTGTTGTTGTAGCTGATGTTGTTGCAACTGTTGTTGTTGTTGCTGCTGCTGCTGTTGTTGCTGCTGCTGTTGTTGCAGCAGCTGCTGCTGTGGTTGTTGCTGCAGCAGCTGCTGCTGTGGTTGTTGCTGTTGCTGTTGCTGCAACTGTTGTTGCTGTAATAGCTGCTGTTGCTGCAGCTGCATTTGCAACTGCTGCTGTTGCTGCTGCTGCTGTTGTTGTTGATGTTGTTGCTGCTGATGTTGTTGCTGCAAGTGTTGCTGTTGCTGTTGCTGTTGCAGCGTTGTCGGCGTTGCTATGCGCGCCTTTATCAACTCATGATCCACATTGTTGCTATGCCCCAAAGCAATTTCGCTTTTAAGTTCCTTTTCCTCAGCTTGTTGCTGTTGCTGCTGCTGCTGCTGTTGTTGCAGCTGCTGCTGCTGCTGCTGTTGTTGCAGCTGCTGTTGCTGTTGCTGCTGCTGCTGCTGTTGTTGCATGGGCAACTTTCGTTTCAGCGCCTCGCTGCTAATCAGATTCACATTTGCTGGCTTCTCCTGCAGCTTCCAGTTGTCGCTGTGCACTGGCGCGGGCAGATGCGGCTTCTCGGGTTCCGGCTGGGCGTGCGGCTCATCGTGCGGCTCAAGCTTGCTGAGCTTGATCAGCTCCTTGGTGGGCTTAGTCGTTATGGAAATGGTCACGTTCGACACTTGCCCCGTGCTCAGCTCATAAGATGGAGGCGGCGGCAGTGGCTCTGTCTTATTGCTCGGCTCAACAATCAGCGTGGGCAGCTTGCTGGTCACGGCGGGCATGGCCGAGGACGTGACTGTTGCTGCTGCAGCAGCAGCAGCAGCAGCAGCGGCGGCGGCGGCAGCAGCAGCTGCAGCTGTGGCTGACACGGGTGTGGATATGAACGAGGTTTCCTTGGATACAATTTGCACCGATTGCTTAAGTTGAGGCGCAGGCGGCGCAACAGCAACTGTTGCTGCTGTTGCTATTGGCGGTGCTGCTGCTGTCGTGGCAGTAATTGTTGCTGCCGCTGCTGTTGTTGTTGTTGTAGCTGCTGCTGCTGCTGCTGCTGGTGCAGACTCCTGCTGCTGCTGCTGCTGCTGCAATTCGAGCAGCTTTTGCGGCTCGACAACTGGTGTGGGCGTGGCCGCCTGACTAATAGCCACCATAGTGGCTGTTGTTGTCGTTATGGTATTGCAACTGCCGCTGCCGCTGGTATTGCTATTGCTGCTGCTCACGGCCGCCGGCACGGGCGGTATAACGGGGCGTGCCAATTGCGCCTCCAGCGAACTAACCAGACCCATGCTCGGCGCCCGCACATTGATGACCTTGCGCGCCGACAGCGGCGCCGATGTTATAGAAATCTGCTGCAGATTGTGGGTGTTGTTGCTGCTGCTGCTGCTGCTGGAGCTGTTGTTGCTGCTGCTGCTGCTGCTGCTGTTCTGCAGCAACTGCTTGAGCAGCGCATTGTTGGAATCATCTACACGCGCGTGCAGCGTGATGCGCTTCTCAGTGGCGTTGCCCAGCTGCTGCGCCTGCGGCTGCTGCTGCTGCTGCTGCTCCTCCTGCTGCTGTTGCTGCTGCTGTTCAGCTGGGAAATCCTTGTGGCTATCCGGCGGAGCGGACGCTTGCTTAACCAGCAACAGCTTCGGCTTCGACTCACTGTCGCCGGCATCGGCCTTCGATTCGTTCAGCTTCACCGCCTGCGCCTTTAGCTGCAGCTTGCCCACAGTCTCAGCGTCCAGCGAGTTGAAGGGCTGCATTTGCAGCGTTGCGCCGCTATTCGCCGATGTCGTTATCATTTTGGGCTTCTGCTGTCCCATCGCCGTCTTGGACACCACCAACGAGATATTCTTCTGAATGGATATGATGGGCCGTGTGCAGAGCGTGGCGCCCGTTGCTGGCTTCGGCAGCGAGTCGTCAGCTGCACCAGCTGCTCCCTGCTGCTGCTGCTGCTGCTGCTGTGGCGCCTGCTGCTTGAATATATTTATGCTGGGCGTGCAGTGCAGTTGACTCTTGTCCAGTGGCTTGATTACCACGCTGTTAATTTTGCCAAACTCGGTGGTGACATCGCCGCCATCCATTGATTTGCTCTTGTTTAGCAATATCTTTTGTATATTCTCGCTGTAGGTGATTGTTTTCGGCTGCTGCTGCAGCTGCTGTTGCTGCTGCTGGTCGTGTGATTCGCCATCGTGCTGTTGCTTGTCCTGCTGCTGCTGCTGCTGCAGCATGGTAAATGTTTGACCCGAGTTAGTTGGGGTTATTGTGACAATGCTGCCGGCGCCTGGCTGCTGTTGTTGCTGCTGTTGTATCTGCAGCTGGAGATGTTGCTGCTGCTGGAATTGCATCGACATCTTTTTGCTAACCACCTTGGCGGTGACGATTTTGGTAGTGGCAGGTTTGATTTGCACATTGGCAAACGAGACGATGGTTGTTGGATTCTTGCGTGACTTGACCAGTTTGAGGTTTAATTGTTGTTGCTGCTGATGCTGATGTTGATGCTGATGCTGCTGCTGTTGCTGGGCCGTCACCGTTGCCGTCGTCACAGCGGTGGCCTGCTGTTTGCTTTCAACAATTGTTGCACCACCAGCCGTTGTGGCACCGCTCGCACTCATAAATTGCCCGCCCTGCAGTATTTGCGGCTTTAGCAGCGGCACCGATATCATCTTATTGCCAATGGACACCTTGGCCGTTGTCTGCGTGCCCTCCGCCAGCTTCTTGGCGTTCACCATCACCTGCTGACCCTTGTACTTTGTCTGAAAGCTAACGCGATTCAGCAGCGTTGTTGTCGTTGTTGCCGTAGCTGTGCCCGTGCCCGTTGTTGTGCCACTATTGAACATGTTGTAGCTGCCTGGTTGTAGCTGCGCTGACGTCGTTGACTTTTGCGTCATGTTACCAGTGACTATGGTGCTGCTGGCAATACTGTTGCTGCTGCTGCAGCTACTGTTGTTGTTGTTGTTGTTACTGCTGCTGCTGCCGCCACTGCTGGTGTTGTTATTCGTAACTGTTGCTTCGTGTGTTGCCGCAGGCTTCAGCTCAGCCGTTGTTGTTGCTGGCAGCAGCACATAGTCAAGCTCCTGAATGGTCACCGTTTTGCCTAGCTGCTGCTGCTGCTCGCTGCTGTTGCCAGGCGTCTGCTCACCGCTTGGCTCTATCGATATAATGGAGGCTGTGGAGGAGGATGAGGAAATTGATGCTGTTGTGACATCTTTTTTGGTAAAGCTGGCATAAGCTGCAATACAATATGTATGAATTTAATGCAATCATTGCAAACACTTCTCAACTTAGGCGCTACTTACTTTGCTTTGGGTTGTTGCTATTACTGATGTTACTGTTGCTGCTGCTGGCGTTGCTGTTGTTGATGATGGTCGCGGTGGTGGCGGACGACTCCTCTGGCTTGATGGCGTTCATTTCACAGACGATTATTTGATCATCCCGTTGCTCCCAGCAGACGTCAGCAGAACTTGCAGCAGCGGCAGCGGCAGCAGCAGCAGCAGCGGCAGCAGCTTCTGTCTTGGCATTCGAGTGACTAACAAAATTGCCGCCAATGCTGATGTTTGTTGTTAGTGGCTCGTCCGTTGTTATTTTATTTGTTGCAGTGTTTGTGGATGATGCTGCCACTACCACGGCTGCTACTGCTGTTGCTGTTGTTGCTGCTGCTGCTGCTGTGGTTGTTGTTGTTGTTGTAGCTGTAGCTGTAGCTGCACGTTGTTTGGCGGGTAAACTGGTTGTGGGCGTACATATAACAATATCGCGCTTTATTTTCTTGCGATTCGGATCATCATTGTCGTCCACACTGCTGCGCTTTTGTATAGATATTGAATTAAAATTGAGCGCTGCCGTTGCAGATGTTACACGTTCGGGTTTCGCTTTTTCGGCGGCAGCAGCCGCAGCAGCAAGCGATGTTGTCACTTTCGATATATTCATAACAACAAACTAAGCGGCCAAACACATTTAAACGCTAGCAATTGTTGCTCAATGCACTTGGATATGGAGTTCTATTTGTTTGTATGTACATATAGAGAATGTTTCAAAACATACACTATTTAGACAAAAAATGATTTTTCGTGTATGCGCAGGGTATCCTAAACTTTAAGCAGTGATAATATATGAAGAAAAATACCACACTTTGACAGCGTTGCATTTTTCGATAACAATATGTACACACACCCACACGTAAATACCTCGTTTCCATCAAGAAAAGCAAATGCAAATTATATACCTGCATATGCTGCAACCTGTACAACTATATTGAGCTTGGCAACATGTGTGGCAATACTGTACTTTTTACTGTTTCAAATTTGTTAATGTAATCATTTCCCTTGCTTGTTTTCAGAATATACAAAATATTAATATATCGCCTACCATCATTAAATTATATATACGATAACGAAAAATGTACGGTAACGCTTAAAACAGTGTTACTACAATAAAAAAGTATGTATTATAATTAAATATTAATATTACATACCAAAATAAAAAAAAAAAGAAATCAAGATTTAGTTTTTAATACAATTATTTATTAATACAAATAATTGAATGCTAGACAATTGTAAAGAATTTTTAAAATTATTGCCTCGACTGTCTGGCAACGCTGCGCTGATGCAACCAGCAACAGAACAAATTCATGGATTCACGATTATATTAAATATATATTAGAAAACAAACATGTGGTGCTTAAAAACGGTCAGTCAACTATTCAAAAACAGCATAACATGTAAGAGCACATTATTGCACGCAGCCAGAGATATAGTTTGATTCAATATCATTTCATTTACAGCTGCCAATGTGAACTACAATTGCGTAGCCGGCCTCAAATATTTCCCACCGCCAGTCAAATATGAAAGTATGCCGTAATATAGATCGCGTATAATAAGTATTTTATTAAATTGTGGCTCGATATTGCAGATATCGAGAAGGTGGATCGACCCAAGCTGCGTATCATGGAGCGCATGCCCCAACTGCCGCCCAACCTTCGACCGCCCAAAATGCAAAAACGTTTGCGTTACATGCGCGGACCCGAGCTTGTCCACAACCAGCTGCTGCACAAGCAATATGCGATCATTGCCACTGGTGGCGGTCGTCTGCGCTGGGGCCACTACGAAATGATGCGTCTGACCATTGGTCGCAAGATGAACGTGAACACAATGTTTGCCACATGGCGTGTGCCGGCGCCTTGGCAGCCGATCACCAAGAAGGGTCAAGGCCAGCGCATGGGCGGCGGTAAGGGCGCCATCGATCATTACGTGACCCCGATTAAGGCGGGTCGTGTCATAGTGGAAATTGCTGGCAAATGTGAGTTCATCGAATGCAAGGGCTTCCTACAGCAGGTGGCCAATCAGTTGCCATTCCAGGCTAAGGTTGTCTCTCAGCAAATGCTGGATGAACAGCAGGTCGAGGAGGAGCAATTGGCACGCGAAAACCAAAATCCATTCACAATGAAATACGTTATACAAAACAACTTAAATGGTTGCCATCGATGGCTGTCGCCAGTGGATCACAAGTGGTTCGGCAAGCATTTATAAATAATCGATGTATGAGCTAAGTAAATGTTTTAATAAAACATCAAATTGTTGTGTTTGGCTTAAGTACAGTGCTCACTCGCCTGAATTGCATTTCACATTGCATTGCAGAAGACAATAAGGCGTTTCGCTTAGCTACCGCCTACTGTATGTAAAACAGACACTAGATACCTAGTGCGTTATCGATAGCAAGTGTTCCATTGCCAGTCGTTTGCCTACATTTATCGTTTTGCATTCAAAAGAAAGACAGAAAGAGAAGGAAATACATAAATGCTGGACAATCAGCTAAGTTTGAATTTGAAAAACGTTTTTTTTTTTTAATTTATGATTCTATTGCAAACATTCGTTTAATTTCCATTTTTTGTTTTTGTGTATATGGGTAATATGTAAGATTTCGCACTTTATATATGTTTGTTCTGCTTTATGTTAATATATAATGTAATGTGTGTATTTTAATTGCACGACATTGTTAATCGCCGTCGCCGTCGTAGTCGTCATTTTCATCTTGCATCATCAGCATGATCATCGTGCTCATTATCATCTGTGCTTAACAGTCGGTATCGTACCAGGCAGCCAAGTTATTGTTGTCATTGGGTGGCGTGGGCATGGCATCCAAATCAAAGTTCAAAGCGCCCGCATCAATCTCGCCGACATCCATGTCCATGGAGTAGGGCGATGTAGGTGCCCCACCAGGCGGTGCTGCGCCACCGGCACCAGCACCACCGCCAACAGCATTGCCAGCAGCGCCAGCACCACCACCTACTGGACTGCTGATTTCGAGACCTTGCATTGAATCTATTGGTAGAGTATCATATCCTGCACGAATGAGAGATCAAATAAAATAATTAAAACAAGTCGATAGGCGAGAGCTGAGCTAAACACATATTCGAATATATATATATATATATAGATATATATCTACTGACATGATATAATAGATAGTACATGCTTCATTTTCATTCATCTTTACATATATATTTGATTGTTCATTCAAGAAGCGTGCAAAATTAATGCTTAATCAATGTCAACATAAACGTAATAAATAATATTTAGTAAATTGTTAAAGAACTGAAATTGTTGAGGGCGTCTCCTGCTTTAAGTCAAAGTTGTGAGTTTGTGTGTGTGTGTGTGTGTGAGATTATGGTAAATGTGTATGAGTTCAAGAATCTAACTTGGCTTGCTCTGGCTATGAGAATGGAACACGAAAATATGAAAGCCTAGAAGACAACTATTTATCCACTTACTAAAGGATTTGACATTAATGATAACGCAGTGCATGCGATTTCGACTCGAAATTAAGTGTTTTACTGGTAAAGATCATCCCTATTCTATATACTTTATTCTACTGTCAATTACTATATGAGGTTTAGAGCAGAGACAGTTAAAATTATTGGCGGATGGTAGGGTTTGTAACTAACTAAACAGACGCAAAGAGAAATGAAGTAAGTTTCAATGAATTTGGATGTATACACACACACATATATACATACATATATGTGTGTGGCACATTCTACGTGCAAATTGGTGGAGTAAATGGATGGTGGTGATAGCGACTATGTCTGGGGATTTGGAACAGGGCACATAAATATTAAACAGGTGTCAAGCATAGGGATTCGAAGATTCAAGAAAAGTTCACATGATCATCATAGGCAATCAATTGGAACTGGTTCATGTGAATTTCCCTTTTGCTTTCGATGAATTGTGTAATGTTATCGAGTTATGGGGACAACACTTGTGTATTAATCGATAAGACATTGAAATATATATATATTTATGTATATGCATAACGGTTAATCACTTATGATTGTACAAATCGATATGTAGGTGCACTCATGTCTGAAATAATCGATTAATAAAGGCACGTATGCAATAATCGACCAACGATACTTGTTCAGCAATCGCTTAGACACTTATACGTATGTAATAACTGTTAATAAGGACACTTATATACTAATTGATTAATGATGAGATAACGGATGGCTCCTGAGGGTGTGGGGCCAGGGGTTAAGTGTTAGCTACAGTGAGGTGTTGGGGGAAAAGTTGTCTTCAATCGTAATTTGCTTTTTCTTTTGTATTTTTGCTTAGCTAATCCATTTGCGTCATCTTTTGGTTTCGGCTTGAACAAATAGTGAATAGAAACACGCACATTCATACAATATGATTAATTGCAATTAAATGAGGGCGGGGCAAGGGTTGGGGGCGAGGCTTGGCTGGGTTAAGATTTGCGATTGATTAGTGTTGACTGTAGATCCTTAAAGCCGTAGTAGGTGGAAGCGAGCATACATACCTTGCTGATGGAATGCGCGACCTCCGTGCGAACTGTGCACACTGGGCGGACCTTGTCCGTACAGGCCCTCATATGCTTCTTCGGGTCCAAGCATATCCTGTGATCGTGATCGTGAACGTGATTGTGTTCGTGTACGTGTTCGTGTTCGTGTTGTCAATTTAAATGTATTTTGTGTGTGAGTATACGAAAAGTGGGTTGATTGGTTGGTTGGTTGGTTGATTGGTTGGTGTGTGTGTGTGTGGGTGTGTGTGTATGTGTTATTTTTTCATTTTTTTTTATTTTTGGATGGATCAGAAGTGAAAAGTTGTTAGGAAATAGAGAAGAGACACACAGACACAGAACACGGGTTGTTGTGTTGCGTTTATGTGTGTGTGTGAGAGACAGAGAGAGAGGATGCGCAGTTGATAGTGTTTGTTGTTGTTGTTGTTGTTGTTGTGCGTGATGCAAGTGAGTTCGGTCGATGTGTGTGATTGGTGTTTGGTTTGTTCGATTTCGGTTTTTTTTTTGTTTTTTTTTTTTGCACACAAACAAAACATAATGTAAGAAAAAAAGAAACGAAATAAATCAAAATACAAATTAATTACAAAATCAAAATTTAAACAGTAATTAGTAAACATATTTAAATAAAAATAGCTAAATAATGTATAAATATTATATATATATATATGGTAATAAATCAAGGCCATCATTTACTTTGATCTTATCGAGGTTGAAATTGTTCTTTTCTTGTTTTTGTTTTTCTTAGGTCAATTGAGGAATCGTAGTTGATGCAATCAAAGTCTACTTAAAACTAACATTAAAAATGATTCGAAAACAATTCATAATTCGATACAATGCTGATAATTTGTGTAGTATATATATATATATATATATTATATACATGATTGATCTGCTGCTTACAAATAGTTTCAGTTATATATGTATTGCTACAGATGTTTATGTACAAATTTGTGGAGTTTTGGGGATCGAAACATAAATTTGCGAAATGTATATACAAATATTGAAATGAAAATAGGAGCCCAAGTGAAGTCAATAGATAGGTCTACGTCTAGTTTGGAACCGGAAGCGGAAGCGTTACGCACCTGTAAGTCTGGACCCATGCCGAGGTCAGCGTTGGCCCAGATGTTGTTCTCTTCGCGTAGCAGCGAGTTGGTCAACTCAATGGAGAGACGCTTCTTGTAGTCCTGCGGCTTGTCCTCGCTCATGCGGAACAGCACGGCGGCTGCATATGTGGCCACGCCCTCGTTGCGCGAATGCAACAGATCGGTGAGCGGTCCAGTTGCGCCCTCCTGTTCGATGATCTCGGCGCCCTCCTTATCGGCAGCCAGCTCACAGAGCACGCCAGCAGCCACGCGCTGCAAATGCACAATTTCAGTTATCGATTGCAATTCCAGAGACACACCTTGGCCACACTCACCTGAATGTTCTCGATTTCGTTGAAGAGCAAACGCACAAAGATCGGTATAACCGACTGTTGGCGTATGAGAGCACGATTGTGCGATTCGCGCGCAAGGATATGCAAGGCGCCGACAGTTCCCTCGACAATCTCCTCCATCCGAACGCCATCGGCATATGCAGATGGCTGCTGCGACCCAGTGGTGGCAATAGACGAACGTTGCTATATAATGCAGATAATAAACATATACATAAAGATACAGATTGAAGAGGAGGAGCACCTCCTCTTCAGCTAGTCTATGGCGATCCACTCATCAAGAGAATGCCTGGGAAACTATCGAATACGACTGCACTGAGACTCTGCTTCTACTTACACGTTCTGTGTCCTGGAATGCACGCATCAGGAGACGCACAAGATGGTGTATGGCGCCGTGTTCGCGCAACGGCGCGTGATTGGCCGGGCAGAGGGCCAGATTGCGAATGAGTCCGATGACGGCCTTGATGAGGGGCCAACGCGATGGTGGATGCAATAGCTTCACAATTACGGATAGGCCGTAATTGAGACGCACCGCATTCTGGGCGAGCTCCGAGTCGACATGACGCGAGGTTAGATGACGCAGAGCGCAGACGGCCGGCTCGGTGATCTCCTCGCGATCGCCGGCATTGATGATGGTGCGAACGAGCGCATCGACGCCGCCCACTTGGCAAACGGTCGCCTTGTTGCGCTGATTGTTGCAAGTCAAATTCGAGAGAATGCCGGCGGCACAGGTGACCACATTGACATCCGTTGAGCCCAAGACCTGGACAAGCGATTGAAGCAGTGCCTCCAGTCCCTCCACCTTGGTGGCAGCGTCCGACAGATTGCGCAGCGTCCAGAGGCAATTCTGGACGAGACGTGGCGACATATTGCCCAGATGCATGGCCAATGCCTGCATGCCGCCAGCATCAACAATTGCCGGCTTGTTGCTGGAGCACACCGAGAGCACCTTTAGCACACGCGATGTGGTCCACAAGAGCTTCTCGTAATCGTAGGAGCGCATGATGCGTACCAGCTCATTGGGTCCGCCGGAAGCGAGAATGATGAGCTTGCTCTCCTGATTGCCATAGGCCAGAATCTGCAGGCAATCAGTCACAATGGCCAAGAACTTGACATTGTTGCGTTGCAAGAGCGTCACCATCTTCTGGAGGCCACCGGCCAAACGTACGGCCATCTTGGAGCCGTCCTGATGCAGCAGTAGATTGTGCAGCGTGGTGATCGCATAGAAGAGCACGCTCTCAACGGGCGAGGAGAGCAGCTTGACGAGAGCCGGTATGCCGCCGCTCTTGAAGATGGCCAA